TATTAATGTTCAGAATACAGGCAAAAACATTCCAGACACCATGTTTACATGAATGCAATAAGGATGCAAATAATAGGTTCGAACTCATATTCTATAAATGTTTTAAATTATATTGGTTTGCAGTGTTGTTGGGTAACACTGCAAGGTGTAATTGACACTGTTTCTAGTGTTGACAGCTTCTAAACTTGAAAATAAAATTTGTTGGTCTGCCTTCCTCAGAAGTAGGTCTTACACTTCACAGTATAAGGAATGTGGGGTTACTCAGCCCTTATACTATTCGTATTTTTGCTGTTTTACCCTGAGGAACTTCCTTTAACATTTCTTTTGGAAACTGGGAATATTATTCTAGAAATGAAGCCATTAACTCTATGGCTGTTTCAACTTTTCAGTTACCACTAGGTGCACTGAAATGTGTTCATACAGTGTTAGTTAAACATCTGTCATAATGAATGCCCTTTTCCCCACAGGGGCTGGATTAGTTTGGAACTGCCTCAGCTCTTGTGGAGGCTTTTTCCCCCCATCATATAGGGATGGGTTTAATCCGTTGTTTTAGGAATAATTGAATCCAATGTGAGCCCAGTAGCATATGCTATTATACCCTCCAAGAGGAAGCGTTTGCTTGCAAACTCACAAGATTAGACTAAATGGCTTGGTTCTGGTTGAGCTCCCCCATCAAAACAAAGTCTGATGATGTAGAAGGTTCAGATATAGGGAATAAAAAAGCAATCCTGAGTTTGCCAAACACTGGGAACAACTTTTTTTTAATCTAGCTAGGAGGGACAAACAGTTATCTGCCTTATTTTCAGCGCTGTATTTATCATACAAATCAAATTACCTCATTAAAAAGAGTTGGGGACAGCCTTTGTCAACTGTATTGTGAATTTTGTTTTCTTTGCAATACCCAGCGCTTGCAAAAAGTCACCTGCTAGCCTGAGGACTAACCAAACTTGTCAAAGGCAGATAGAAAAGCTGCTGGATGAAGGTGAGGGATGCTTGGATCCCTGCCAAGGTTCTGTGCTTGGACCTTGCTCGGAGGCTCATTGTACCAACCTTCTGCTAGAGGAGACCGTTTTCTATTCACCTACTGCTTATCCTCAAGCCTCCTGACTGTTTGGAGTGGGTCTCTTTTCCTAGCTGATTCATAGGGAGGGCCAGCAGGATGCCTGCTGGTCTGCCACTCCTTCAGGCTCTGGGTTTTTTTGTATAGTTTTCTCCCCTGAATAGCTTTTAGAACCTGCCTTGACTGCTGTTCATTGCTTTGCTTAGCCGCCGCAGCAGAAGGAACCTGATACATTGTAATCAATTTTAGTGGTCATAGGGTACTGAGTAGCAGCAATGAAGCGGAGCCAGGCCTCTTTGCTTTCTCAAGCGGCAGAATGAAGTTTTGAGCAACATTAGAACTGACTATAGACTCAACAAATGCTTTGCTGGTGTTGTGCTCTTCTGCTGTGATTCCTGCATCTATACTGGAGGATTTGCTGGCATTGCTATGTTGGGGGGGGTGACCGTATGTGGGTTTTTTTTTGTTTTACACCCCAACTGATCTAGCTGTGCCCACAAAAAATAAAGCTTAAATTCTTCAGAACTTGATAGTTCAGTCCCCCACTCTCAGCAAAGGGGCAAGTTTGCCGCTCCTTGTTGAAGTCCTGTCAACCTTCTCAAAGAAAAAATGGAATTGGATATTGTCTGCATCTAAGCACTTCAAGGGTTAAGTATTAAAGCGTTCTATAAACTAGTAACACACTTGCATTATATAACCATTTACAGTTTTGGCCACACTTGTGATTCATAGACTCTAAGGACAGACAGGATCATCTTGATCCTCTAGTCTGATCTCCTGCACAATAAAGGCCACAGAACCTCACCCACCCACCCCTGAAACAGATCCATTACAGTAGAATCTCAGAGTTACGAACACCTTGGGAATGGAGGTTGTTCGTAACTGAACACAACAGTCTCGTTGTTCTTCTAAAAATTTACAACTGAACATTGTCTAATGTCTAACATATGTCTAAGTTTTGAGCTGTGTGTGTAAATCCCAGCTTAAGGAGAGATGCGTGCAGTGACTCTGTCTGAGCTAGGACAATATAGGATGAGTTAGCCACCTTGAGTACATGCCCAGCATCTCAGATGGGTACGTATTGAAGGCGGCCTGCCCCTTGCGCTGCCATAGCTATGCTCTGTTTATAGCGTGCTGCCTCAGAGCTGGCACAGATGTGCCGCCTTGAGCAGGGTATCGTACCCCCAGCTCGAAATGCAGACGTACCCTCAGGCTGAGTTACCCACCAAGGCAGCCACCTTGATGACAAAATATTTCTCCTTCTTTCCTTGTGCCTCCCCACCTGTTGTCTTTTATCTTATAGAGTGTAAGCTCTTTGGGGCAGAGGCTGTCTTTGTTCTCTTTTGTACAGCACCTAGCACAAGGAAGCCTTGCTCCATGACTGGAGCGCCTAGGTGCTACCATAATACAAACAATAGATGGGCAACAACCTTTTTAAAAAACAAAAAGCTGGTGGTAAAGCCCTCAGAAGGACAGAGGTACTAACCCACTTCATTAAAGATTCAGTTGGTGTACTGACTGCTTGTCACTGGCTTCCTCCGTCTTTCAGAAGAGGGGTGATGAAGTGAGAATACTGGATCAAACAATGGTCTGTCTAGTCAAAGTTCATATCTCAATAACCCAGCACAAGTTGCTTCAGACGAATGTGTGGTTAAACAACCAAAGATGCCCCCCATAATGGTCACTTTTGGGCACTAAAATAACTATAGAGCGAAGATTCCCAAACTTTTTTTTTTTTTTTTTTTTTTTTGCTGCACCCCCTTTTGGAGGTTCACATCCTATGCACACCCTCCTCTTTCTAAGAAACAGAATTTCTGTAGATGCCAGGAGTCTGGGAGACCATCCCGGCTTGGATGTCCTGTTTGTCCCCAGCCTGCAAACATCCCCTGGCTGGGACATGCTCTGGGCGGCGGGACATAGGCAGCCAGGCTGGACCTCTGCCCTTGGGACACTCCCATGATGATTCACAGGCTGTGAGCTTCTCTGGCCCGGACACAATCCCCAGCATGCATGTGCAAGGGCCTGTGTGAGCAGGGAGAAACTACCTGCCAACGAGGTGCCTGTGTATCAACCTATGAGAGGCAAGCTGCTCCTCATCCCTCCCTCTCCCTTGTTCTTCCAGCCTGGCAGGAGCTGGAGGGAGACACTTAGTGAGAGGAATTCTTCTTTTATCAACAGTATTTTGAAGAAACACAAAACAATTCTTAAGCACAGTCAGGTCCTGGTGCCCCCTAATAACCATGGCATGGGCACACCCCACAGTTTGAGAACCAGTGCTGTAAGGGAAATCGTTTTCTAGCCCAATGTAATTATTTGGGTTATGTCCTAGTACGCATGACGGGTTTGTCTTTAGCTAGTGTAACTCCTATGTTGTAATTATGCCTAATTCTTTAACAAATCCTGCTCTCTAGTGAGTTCCTCTGGTTAACTGTGTTGTGTAAACCATTCCCTTTATCAGCCTGGAAAGTTTACCTTTTAAAGGTGTTCCTTTCTCTCCAATTTATCCTCTCCTAAGGTAAGAACACTCCCATGATTCTACATTCCTTTCAGATATCTCCTTAAACTGAGCAGCCTTAAACTTTTCAATCTTACCTCACAGAAAAGTCTTGCCATGTCTCTGGCCGCTTTTGCTGTCCTCCTCCGGGCTTTTTCTATTTCTTGCTTATATCCTTTTTGAAACAGGGTTATAGAAACTGACTGTGGTATTCAAGGTGAGAGAATATTGTCCTAGATATTAGTATTGTGTGGTAGGATCTAGAGGTTCCAGCTCCATTGTGTTAGGTGCTGTACAAACAACGAAAAGACCTGGCCAAAGAATTTACAATCAAAGTTGGTATTAGTCTCTGTCCCTTTCTTAATATATCATTTTTCTTTCCCATTTTGGTCACTGCTGTCCTTTTTTGTCACAGGCAACAGTTTAGCAAGTCTGTTTTCCCAAACCTTTGGAAGCTGAACCCTCCTTCATGAAATTAAATCCAGTTTAATCCTCATGCAACCCTGCTATGTGTGAACAGAGGCCTACAAATCTTTCTCTATACATCTGTGTCTGCCCTGTGCCCCCTTCCATGGTGGGAAACACTAGTGTAGATTATGCTTTCTCTTCTTCCTTGCATGCTCTGACCAGTGAAATTACTTTAAATATCTGTTAATATCAGTGACATTTGAGTTATTACTTATTGAAACGAATGTGGAACTTCACATCTCAGCTATTGTTTCAGAGTCTCTGCCAATTCGGCAACTCAGGTTACTTCAATTACACTTTATTGGAGTTTGAGTAGCAGCCGTGCTAGTCTGTATCCACAAAAAGAACAGGAGGACTTGTGGCACCTTAGAGACTAACAAATTTATTTGAGCATAAGCTTCCGTGAGCTACAGCAGAGTGGCTCTTGATGAAGTTCTTTTGATTCCTTCCCCCCCCCCCATCTGCAAAGCTTACCAGTTTCTTGTTCACCCCTCTTTAGATCATTATGAAATAGCACCCGTTCCACGGTGGAGATTTAAGGCACTCCTATATCATCCTTTTATGCTGAAGAGTGAGTTTATTCATACAGTTTTCTCTCAACACATTTCTAATCTATAATTTGTCTTCCTCCATGACTGCTTAGTAGCCCCTTGTGAGGGATTTTAAAAAGATCTCTGGAAGTTCTTGTGATGCCCACCAGTTCTTTTATCCACCACTTAATAAACATGTATATTGTGGTAGCAGCTAAAGTCTTCAACTAGATCAGGACCCCGTTGTTCTAGGCACTATACAAACAGGGTAATTGATAATCCCTGCACTAGACAGTTTACAGTCTAAAAGACAAGACCTTTAGCAGGTGAAGGAGACAAACAAGCAAAGATGGGGAGAGTGAGGTAACAAAAGCACTATTTAGCACAGAGTAGATGTCTGTCCAGTGTAGCCAATCAGTCAGCTCATCAACTCTCTACTTGTTATCAGGTGGCAGTTTTCTGCAGTGAGATGGAAGGAGGATAAAGCGTATGGCTTCTGACTGACTTCTCCCCCCCACACAGCACAAGCAACCACATGGGAGAACATATGCTGGGAGAGGCTGACCGAACTGGAGTGAAGATGGACGTCAACTTCATTATGAGACAGGAGGAGGAATAGCTCAGGGGGCTTTGAAAGCTTGAATGAGAGTTTGTGTGGTAGAGGGGAAGCCTATGCAGGGTTTGAGGGATTTGGCATGGCCAGAGCCATGATCTAGGGCAATGATTTTAGCAGCAGCATTTTGAGTGGATTTGTCTGCTTCAAAGAATAGTAGGCTGAAAAGAGGTGTGATTTTTTTTCCCCTCCGCCCTGTCCCCTCCTTACAGCAGCTGCGCTGCCTGGGTCCCTATTGTAGTGGGGTAACTAAAACATGAACACCTTAAAAGCTTCTCATTAAAAACATTTACAATGTGTTTGGTCTTCTGAGTGGAATCCACCATTTTTTGTTACTTAGGGTGGAGCTGGTTATACTGATGAGTGTCTGTTCCCTATTTGGGGGAAACCATAATTTTAATCACAAGGAATTATAAGTTCTACCTCTATTTGTAGAAGGAAAATTATGCCTGCAAACATCTGAGGCCTACCTAAAATGGGGCCCATCCAGTGTACTGTGTGTGTGTCATTTATTTAGAAAACATTTCTTGCCCTTCTATAACTACCAAACCCCACAATTTTATATAATGCAATGGGCTGTATGTGAATGTAATCAGTACTGTTTTAGAGCCCAAGCTATATTTCCTTACATCAGTCACTTCATGAAGGAGTCCTGGGATCTAAATTGAGGTGTCTGTGCAGCAGACAGCAGTCTTCTTAAATGTGACTTACATTTTGAAAAAAAATGAAGTAAATAAGATGGTGCATTGGATGCTCCAACTAAGCGGGGCAGGAGGGGGCATTCAATAAGCTGATTTTTTTTTTTTTAAACCAGGTAATATCTCCTATCAAGGGTCCTCAGGCAGAGAACTGAGCAGATGCTCGTTCTCAGTTTTTCCCTGTGTGAAGTCATGTGCAGTGCAGGTGCAAAACAATTCGGCACCCTTGCAAATTCAGATTGTCCAGGGTTTAGTATGCTGTCTCAAATTGCCTCAGTACGAGGAACTGTGGTATTAAATTACATAATGACCTGAAAGATGGAGTGAAATGAAGTGGTGGCATCTGTGGGCAGCACACATTTTAGAGTAGCCAGGATGATGGAGCGCTATGGTGGAATGTGGAGTAATTTAACAAAGCTAAATTAGGCCTAAGTGGCTCCCGTGATTGGTTCAGAACTCTTCATGTGAAGGCACCACTTTAAATTCAGCCAGGTCGCGAATGGCCAGATGTGATCAGACAGCTGCTTAGTGAGGTGTGGAGGAAACGAGCTCAGTCCAGTTTCTAGTGCACAAGCATCCACATTACAGACCCCAGTTAGCACTAAGTGTCTGTCGGGTAGTCTGAGGAACTGGGGACTGAGTGAACATAGACTTTACTATCCTTCCTCATGTACAGTTGGAGCACTCTGAGGGGAAGCTGGAACTGCTCCCACACCTTATTTGTCTGACTTAGGCCTTGTCTACATTACAGAGTTTTGTCATCAAAAGTCAGCTTTCATTGACAAAACAGTGGAGGTGTACACACCACCATGCTCCTCCCGCCGACAAAACTCTCCTGCTTTGCCGACAAAATAAAACCACCTTGATGAGAGGTGTAGAGATTTTTGCGGCAAAGTTGTATTGACAAAGTGTCAGTGTAGACCCTGCGCTTGGTTATGTTGCTGTAAATGGCCTCCAGGAGGTGTCCCACAATGCCCATCCTGACCTCTGTTTGAATGCCACTGCCCTGCACCCAGGTACATAGATATCAGTTCCCCTCACCCCCCATTTAAAGGCCCACGAATTTTTAAAATGCCACTTCCTGTTAGCTCAGCATGGACAATTCACATCGCATCTTCCCAGCTGACCAGGGCGGCTCCACGAGGTAAATGCTCTCCCGTGTAGAGCATCCCTGAGTTGTTGGATCTGCTGGCAGTGTGGGGAGAGGAGGCTGCACAGACCCAGCTCTGCTCCAGCCATAGGGACTTTGATACCTATGGTCAGATTTCTCATGACATGTTGGAGAAGGGCTACGAACAGGACATGCAGCAGGGCGATGTGAGGATAAAGGAGCTGAGGCCGGTCTACCAGAAGGCAAGGGAGTCAAACTGTCGCTCTGGTGCTGTGCCGAAGACTTGCTGCTTCTATAAGGAGCTGGATGCCATCCTTGGTGGCGACCCTGCTCCCACTGCCAAGAGCCCTGTGGATACTTTGGTGGGGCTGGAGATGGCGGAGAGCGGACTCAACCCTGAGGACAAAGTTGTGGACGAGGAGGTCGAGTTGGAGGACGATGTGGCACACATAGCAGGGTCGTCTGGTGGCATGGCGAGCCAGGACCTCTTTTCCGTTCCAGAGGGGTCTAGCCAGTCCTAGCAGCCCATCTCTGGTGTGCATGATGGAGGAGAGGAGAGCTGTGGTAATTGATCTTTTTGAGTTGATGATGCTCAGTTATGAGGTAGAGCTGTCCTTTGCTTTGTATATTCTGGAAGTGGTGAAGGGATAGAAATGTACAAGACTAGCTATGTTTGCGTGTGCTTCACGTCCTCCTGTGCAGCTAAGCAGTGCAGTGGAACTGTGTGTTAATGCACACCAAGATTTCACGGGACTCCTCCAGAGAGAGCTCTAGGAAACTTTCCTGCAGGTACCAGCCAATCCTCTACCGAAGGGTCCTTGGCAGAGCTGCTTTGTTCCTTCCCCAGTTGTAGGAAACTTTCCTGCACCAATTGGCAATCACTTGTGCAGCGACCAATCTGGCACACAGGCGAGCCACGTAGGGACCTGGTCTGAATCCACACGCATACAGGAGATGCACCCGTGCCTCCTTGCTTACCCTTAGGAGTGAGATATCGGCTTCAATGATCCCCGCCTGTGGAAAATGGTGGTAGAATTTAAAATATTGTCCCTAATCGCCTGCAGTGATCCCCTTTAAAAAAAACAACAACCCACCAAGACTCTTTGCCCCATCTTGAGCGCCCCCTCCTGGCTGAACTCACCATGTTTAGGGCGTTCATCGAGCTGTGTGCTTGCCAAGGGACAGTGAGAAACTGATTTGTATTTTTAAAAAGGGTGCATTTTATTATAATGATTCGATGCTGTGTATGCACTAACCATCATGCTTCTCTTTGTTTCTTGTGCTTCTGCAGATGTGGCCTTCAGGGGAACCCCATACACACCGGCGGAGTGTCTCCGCCATATAAGGAAGTCATCAAGGAGGACATGTTTCGAGAGGTGCTCCAATCCTCAGAGGCTGAAAAACAAGAATGCAAGGTGTGGAGAGAGACTTTAAAAGAAAATACTAAAATTGAGAGGCGGGACAGATGGCTACCTACAGTGTGCTGCTCTCTGTCAATGTTAAAGCACCAATTGTGGACCTGCTCTGCTGACAGAAGGAACATTGTGTGAACATGCACAAACCATGTCACTATACCGGTGTTCGATTGTCGGTGTAACTTGCGTTGACAAAACTCTGTGTAGACAAGGCCTTAGTCTTCAATGCTGCTAGCCCAGCACTTCCTATGAGCAATGAAATTCATACTGTTACTTAAAAATTGACAACAGGGCTGCAGATGTGCTTGTCGTCTTGCCCAAGACAACAAACAGAGAAAAACAGAACTGAATGACATAAGGGAATCTGAGCTAGCTTTAACTCCTGCAGGAAAAAGAGGCTCCTGACAGCTAAGCCATATCTGCTCATTGTGCTGCAATAGTTGAAGCAAATAAGATGTAAACTTTATTAGTATAAAGTATCAAATGCAACGAATGGTTGTTTAGAAGGGCATGGTACATCCCTCATTGGTTCCAGGTTTGGCAATCTAATAATAGCTTTTCCTTTGTATTAACGGAAGATAGAGGGAGTGAGTAAGTGAGGTCTGGACTTCTGGCAAAAGACACATCTATCAATCCTGCCTTTTGATCATTCTTCAGGGAGAATTATTTTGTGTTGTAGATTTAAAGGGGAGAGACTTAGAAGGGAGGGGGTGGAGATCTTGCTCAAATGTAACATTATCCCTTTGCTTTTTTGTCCCTAACTCTTCTGGTATATGTACACTTATCTTGATTTTGTTTAATTTCACGGTTTCTCAAACAAAATTTATCTTTACTTCAGTTTTTCCTGGAAAACTATTGGTGGTCTCTTGACTATTAAGCTTGTTGTTGTGAAGTTTTTCTACTTCCTCCCCCCCACCCCCTTTCACCGGTGAAGTCATCTTGTCTCTTCAGTTTTGGTTACGTATCCAAAGTATGCATGTACAGATACAGTAATGGAAGGTGTCTGGAATAAGTTAAATACCAGTCTTGATATTGATGTGAAGAGCAGCTGAGTCCGAACTTGGTCTGTCAACAATTAAATACGTTCTTTCTTATGAAGACTTGTTTCTTTTGCATTTCAGAGCAGGAGAAATACTTTAGTAGATGGTGCAGATGTTCTTATTGTGATACAATTACTGCCTTCCAAAGGGGAGAGCTCATTTTAACTTCCTGCATCAAGAGCCCCACTTCCATCATTCTCATGCTCTGTTCTCTTGCTCCCTTCTAAGTTGGCAATTCTTTTGAGTAGACAAAAGAGACCTCTAAAATGCTAAGTTGCAAACCTAGTGCCCCATGAGCAAGAAAAGAATACATAGTTGCAGGGGTGATTCATCAAGCAAAAGTTTTGCTGAATATGAATTTGTAAGATTCCAGAGGGGTGGGGAGTACGTGGCTACTAATGAAAAAAATAATTAACGTCATACTTGGTTTCCTCCCGAAGATCCTAAGCAATTGAAGCTACAGATGTTTTGGCAGAGAAATCACACAAACTAAAACCAAAGGGAAAAAAGAGGGATTTAAAATGGAATAGTTCTTTCCTCTATCCGTTTAGGGTACTTCTGATTCACTCCCGTTGGCAGAGAAATAGGGAAGTCTGCAGCTCAGATTTCTCAGGGGCTTAAAAGGATTCTGCATCTCTGTTAATGTGACTTAGCGCATGTCTCTACGTACAGCGCTGCAGTGGGTGCAGCTGTAGCACGTCTGGTGAAAACCCTCTATGCCGACAGGAGAGAGCTCTCCCGCTGGCATAAAAAAACCCCATCTCCATGAGCAGTGTAAGCTAGGTCGGCAGGAGAAGTTCTCCCATCAGCATAGCACTGTGCACACTACATTCTATGTCGGTGGAATTTATGTCGCTCAGGGGGGAGGGGCGGGATGTGGAATATTCACACCCCTGAGCGAAAACAGTTTGCTCACATAGGCTATAGGGTAGACATAGCCGAGCACTCGATTTACAACTATATAGTTTTCTTTCTCTGCAGCCTTGCAAAAGGCTATTGAAGCTTTTAAAAAATAAAATGTTCTAATCAATTAATAGGAGACTTAAGCTCTAATCTACTGACATGAGATTTCCCATAAACAACCATGCTCTGTGTGTGTATGTGGTGAGCTTAGGAAGCAATGGTAACTATTTGGATGTTTTCCTATATCTTAAATGAGTTTTAAATTAGTATTGGGGAAAGTCTTTCCCTGTAAACCTCTCCCCTTAGAACTGTATTAGAACTCTTGCTATGATGAATTTTGTGCAATTGGGGCTACAGATGTCCTGGCAGAGAAATCACATAGCAAAGGGAAAGAATAGGGGTTTAGAATGGAATAGTTTATAGTGACGAATTTTGCCACGTAATGGCATTGTAAGAATATTGCTATGAAATCTCATAGCTATTATGGAAGTGTTAGTATTATAGAAATACGCTTAACCAATGAGCCAAAATAAGACATGCTTTACTTGAGCACTGGTGCACATGTTGGGGGTGTGTTAAGACATCAGCTCAAATGCAGAATACCTTAAAATCTGAAGCTTCTGCCCAAATAAATGTGTTAGTCTCTAAGGTGCCACAAGGGCTCCTTGGGTTTTTTTTTTTTTAAATCTGAAGAGTACACTAGGAATAAAATAATGCACATCCTTGTACATCTGAGTATAGTTCAATAAACTGGTTAACTTACAGCAGTTTGGAACCCTTAATTTTTCCAAGATGAGTTACATTTTCTGCTTATTGCTGTTACTGGAAAAATGGGTTATAAGTGTCTAAAATGCAGAAACACTGTAAGTTGCAACTAACTATGGATACAGAAGGGTAGGGTGGGAGGAGGACTGGGGCTTATCCAGGCTAGAAATAGTAAGGAGAGGTAGATTTCAAACATAAATTGCTTGGTGTGGATTCTAACAGCATCTCAGAAGCTGCTTCTCTCAACAGGGAGTGTAATCTGAGGAGTACAAAGGTTAAAGTCAAGGTCAGGGATTGAGCTTTTCACTCTTTCAATGGCCTCTTGAAAGTTGAAATAATTAGGTAGTTTTTTAAAGGATAAGGCCACCCTTTATCTGTCCAATAAGGAATATTAGCACATTCTTTCCTGCTCTTACTGGACAGATAAAGGAAAGGGATGGTGTGTGTGTGTAGGGAGGCAGAACCATTCTTGCTAAACTTGATTTTGTGCAGGGAGAGTTTGTGTGTTTTAGCTAAGCTGTTACTAATGGGCGGAATTGTTCAAGGGGCGATCTCAGCTTGAACTGGGTAGATTGGACCCCACTGGTGTTCCTAAAATAACTACTTAGCTTTTCTTGTCCATAAATCTCCAGTGCCTGACAAAGCAAGCATCATTCTTCCCACGCTAGAGATGAGAAAGCTGAGGCCGGGGTGGACTTGCCCAGCGTCACACAGCAGGGCAGTGGCAGGTAATGATTGCAGTATAAGAACCTATAGAATTTATTTTTGCATGTGAGAGGGAGAAAAGCTGAGAGGACTTCAGATGAGGTTGCCTGATTCAACAGGGCTTTATAAAGACCCCTTGCCCTTCTTTCTTTTTCCGGCCAGTAAACTCTGTCTGAGAGTTCTCACCGTCTCTAGTGTTCTTAGATGCATATGCTAGCAGCCCCTAGCTCTGAGCTAAAAATCCCAGTTGCTCAGTGATAAAACTGGGAATCATGTCGGTTTTCAACAGGACTGTGCAATCAGCAACTCCTATTCTGAGGGACGCCAGATACTAAACAGCATAGTTTGGAATGAAATGAAAGTCTGAAACGTAACTGCAAAGATGGCACTGCTTTATCTCAACGGCTCCGTTACCTGGGTGTTCTCAATCATATCTGCTCCCTTTTAGTGACAAGATTCTGATTCTTGTGGGCCTGCAGAGAGTTCATGCTGCTCCATGAGGGGAAGCTAGATATTGCTCAGCCTCAAACAGGGCAGAAGTGTTCGTGGTGCAACGGAGGGTGGAATTTGGAACACAAGTGCAAGTCTTCCTGCTCCGTGAGTTTGCCCAGTCATGACTGATAATTTTTGTTTCTGGTGATAGCCTGGAATCTCTCTCAGATAAGTTTGCAGGACTGGCAGTTAAAGCAACCATTTTTACTCTTACATTGGTTTCAGAGTAGCAGCCGTGTTAGTCTGTATTCGCAAAAAGAAAAGGAGTACTTGTGGCACCTTAGAGACTAACCAATTTATTTGAGCATGAGCTTTCGTGAGCTACAGCTCTTACACTGAGAGAGTTTGATTTGAAAATCACTTGGGGGAGGCATTTTCAGTCACTTTTCAGCAATCACTTTTTTTTTTTTAAATGTTCACATTCATTTCATACTCTGAGCCAATTAGTACTTATCAGTAATAAAATGAGAACGTCAAGGCCACAAAACAATTGGTCTTTTCTTACATGTAATCAGTGAAAACTGCAAACCATTTTAAGGCTAACTTTTTATAGTCTGTTACAGAAATGGATATTTGTGTTAGAACTCTAAATACCCAAGTTGAGTCTCTCAGCAACTTTGACTTGCCCATAAAGCGCACAGTTTTGCCTGCAGATAGACATGTGTATCTGCCATTGAAGTCAATAGACGTACGTGCATACAGACTGGATTAACCCTGTTTAAACTCAGCAAAGTTATGGATTCAGAATAGACTGTACAAGGTGGTGTGAACTAACACTGCTATAAAAAACAACTTTTGCAGTTTGTTCAGATGTAGGGTTTTACCTGAGGGCCATCACTTAAATATCAGCATGTAGGAGCCTGGTTCTCATTTAGACAAAGGTCCCTTTCCACTGCCACAGTAGGGTCTTCTTGTTAAGGTCTGCTTCCCAGGCTTGCACGCTTGTGCTAGCCACATGCTCATCTACTCAGCATGGTGTATGAAGTTCCTGCACAAAGTGCTATTCTTGTCTTTAAAGTAACTTAAACAATTTAACTGCCCTGTGAAATTCTGTGGCTGTCAGATACTGCTGTACCAGGTATGGTCTAGGACATACACTCTGTTTGTGGTACTGTACTACTGTTACCGAAACTGTGGAAGTATTCCCCCAAAAACCCTGTGGTGGTAAATACAGCCTTTGGTGGGAATGTGGAGTTCACAAAGGCATGTTTTTACAGGGTCACCTGCAGTCCTTCCCTGTATCTAACACTTCTTTTAAAACTAACCTAGCCGTGAGAAGTTTAGCTGTATCCACCATGTCCAGCTATAAAATAAAAATAAATTTCTTGAAGTGTGCTGCATATTTGGCAGATATCAATGATTCAAAGTTAAAAAATAAAAGTTCTGGCTTTGTTTTGCACAATGACTTTTTGAAGTGATTGTAAAAGCTACAATGAAGGGCAAATGATACTGTGGCACTGTTTGAAGTGTTCTGGTAAATTGAAATGAGCACCCAGGGAGTTCTAGAGTGAGGACAAGAGGTTTTTTTTTTATGATATTGCTTCCAACATGTCCTGTACTGGTGGAATATTCTTCCAGAATTTCCAGTACAAATTTTCTGCATGAAAGTGCAGGCACCCTTGGAATAAGCCCCACCCTCGAGGGAGATAACAAAATAAATAACCCCCTGTGTACAGTTCAGTACGAATACAGTGTAATTTGGCTTTCAAAATCACAGCACTACAAAAAGATACAGTTAACATCTGCAATCATCATCCCTTTACTGTTCAATAAATCAAAGGCATGTGACACCACAGGGTACATATTAACAAGAAAGTAGTAAATATTAATGTAAGTTCTGCACATATAGCTCTCAGCAGCTTTCCTGTGCTGTGTGGGTTTTTTTGTTTTGTTTTTGTTTTTAATCATTAAGCAGTATTTGAAAACGCTTGTGGGCAGGAAACACTCATTAAAATCTCTTGGTCTGGGCCGGCCTGCAGTCATATTTGGCATTGCTCTTAGGAGTGTTAGCAGCCAGTCCAGCTGTGAATGGACAGGGAGAACTGTGTAGTCCCTCCAGCACGGGGCTTCAGCACACTCCGGGGCTGCTGTGAAGGGAAGCGGTCAGGGCAGCCATCTGTTCTGTGAATGAGCAGACCACAAATCTCCAGGGAGATCAATTCAGCAGCTTTCATGAGCCACTAAAATTG